CATGTGATCATTTGGGAAACATTTTCAACATATTTGTCCCATAAACGTGGATCTTAGGTTTATAAAACTGGGAGTTACAAAGAATAGGGAACTTAGAGCTTAATTAGAACGTTTCAGTTGGCAAAAGGTTATTTATGGAGGTGTTGGAGGTCCGACGGTGAATGTTCAAGGGCTCTTTCACACTTTGGCTATGAATATAATTACATGAGGGATATACCGTCAAGTATATTTAACATTATTTAGAGTCAATATTGAAACTGTCGAATATATTAATAAAGCACCAGGGGTTAAATCCATCGCATTTGGGTAAGGGTATGAAAATGGTGGTGTGGATGAACAACCGGTCCTTGATATTTTAGAACTTAATTGAATTAGCCAGACTTACAACGACTCCCTACCACGACGAAATATGCTAGATACTTCACGTTACTAGAAAAGGTTGAATACTTCACGTTTAAAATTAAACGTGTTGCCAGAATTTTGTTACGGTGGTGAAAACAGGCAAAACTATCATTTATTTCAAGCAGTGTTATAAATTAGGTATCTGTTTTAAACGTGAATATGGAGTTGAGAGAACGTTTGTGTGGGGAAAATACGTTTTTTTGATATTTGTGTGAAATAAATATTCACGTTCACGTGTCATCTGTTCTAACGTCATATCTAGGTACACATAGGTTAATAGATTCTAGAATAATAAACATCCGCGTGAGTACTGTAACACATACAGTATTTCTATTGAAATATGATCTGATTAAAGCTATCAATTATGAAAGTCAGAAATATCAACATAAATACTAAACTACCATCAAGTAGGTTTTGTGGAGATTGCAGTTCATTTAATGTCATGTACAAATATTTCATACTCGCATGAAACTATGCTTTTTGCCAAAACAATCTTCCCACAGTGGCGATCATAATACGTACGTGTGACGTAACATTGAAGAGGTATATCGTTCATAAGCATCTTATATAAAGTGCGGGGCTAAAGATTATACACCCATGTTTGATGGTGAACGAACAAACAAGAAATGGTTATTCGATGGTGATATAGTGATACGGGTGTTATAGAGATGTATCGGACCTTAGGTTTGCCGTGTGCAATTGTTTTCAGTCTAGTAACATTTTGATAACGTTTAAATATGGTCAAATCCAGATTTTAAGAGTATACATTCTTTTGCCAGGCAGTACCTTGGCAGCACTGTTTGACTCGACATAAACTGTAAAGGGAAAAATGATACGCGTGAGTTCTCATGATACTAATTATTCGTACATCTATGAATACATCAGTTCATCTACACATTCCATTGACGGTAAATGTGATCCTGGGGTGGGGTCAATGGTCCACCTGTTGCGTAACGTAACAAATATGGCGGAAGGACCTTTTCGTTTTGGGCAGCAACGCCATACCCAAGTGCCACAGACCAACCACCCAGATTCCAGTCGTCCATAGTCGCTCCTCTGGTTCCCAACAAGTGAAGAATTCCATTGAGTTTAGGCAACTATATTTGAACTACCTGACACTTTAACAGGTCTGGCCTCCCGTTTGTCATTTTAAATCAATTAGTGAGCGAAGGTAGCGTCAAGGCATGAATATTCGATCCAAAAAATTAAATTAGTCACCTAGGTCGGACAACCTGTTCACAATGGCTGGTGGAGAGAATTTGTAGTTTATCATGTTATGTGAAACCATCCGCTGATCCTTAAAAACGCCGGGACGAAATGAAACAATTGAAAAACGCAGTTGTTAAAAAGGAATAAATCCTGACTAGAGACTTAATGAGTTACAAAAATACAACGGGGATTTTCCAAGCATTTGTGACTGATTGAATTGCCGTTGTTGACGAATCCAATAGGAAAACCTGGCTTTGCGGATAAGATTTACGCTTGCGAGAGATTTAGAATCTGGTCAGGTTTGGGAATGGAATGGCGGTTCTATCACTTTCTCTTTTATAATGCAAATACTGGTTGGATTGAGACACAAAAAACTATAAACCTCCCTTTCCTTCGCGACTTGGGAGTTCGTGGAATAAATTTGAATCGTCCATTAATCCAGATCTTTCGAAGGAAGTCTTGATGTAACAGCCACAAATTATTTCCCCCTTTTCTATCAAGGTTAAAATCGCGGAAACTATCCTCCATTGATAAAAAGTCTCTGATGTTTAAAAGCACCCTAAGAAGAATTTATTAGTTTCCACTTAAGGGATTTTAATAAGTTCCATTGACGGAATTTAGCTTTCTCTGAACCGTTAATTTAAAATCCTCTTCATAAATAACCCAGAGCAACAATTACAACTTTACTGAGATTTTCATACTTTATATCAAAGGTATAGCGTGTGGTTTTATCTAAAGAATCGTTAATCTGAAGATGAAAATATATACAAACTTCGGCTATAACGTATATGTATATGTGTATATAAACCGAGAATGGGTATAATGTTAATATACCGATATCTGTGACATCTAGGGAATATCTACCTAGTTAAGAGAAATCAGTGATCTCGTGTTCGGGTGGATATCCTTTTGTTTTAAAAATATATATTTTATGAATGAGTATTGTACATAATTATATACCAAGACATAATTATTATATTTTACATTAAGTAATAATGATTCTAAAGATATAGTGCATACCGACTAGTGAATCCTTATGTTCATTTAATGAAAATACTGACATAAACATTTAAACATCCACCGTCGGTGTAGAATACCAGAATATATATATATATATATATATATATATATATATATATATATATATATATATATATATATCATTTCATTTACGGGACGATATAGCTCAAAACATGTTCTTCACTTCCCTTTTGCTTTGGACTTGCATGTGATATCTGATTTGATGCATGAGAAATCATTGCTGGCTTTACGTGTCACCCTAGCAACAAAAACCTAAGGCACGTGCATATCCATGGGACATTTTCCCTACATTTGACCTTAACACAGTTCAATCCAGTTGTCATTAAACATAGAGAACGATTCATTCGCTCTTGGTTTTAGTATCATACATGCGTGAATACGTTAGACTAAAGTGTGTCAGGAAACAATTATCCCTGTGATAATACTCGCCACAAAATATAAAACAAGAGAGTCAGATTTCTATACACAAGATTAATAGGATTCCAGGAACGATGTATAAAGTTTCACGGCCGATTTTGAATTGCATTACGAGTTCTGATTGGTTATGGTGATAGTGCATCATGGGAATTCGGTGTTAGCTGTACGTATATGTGCGAGCGTCACCATATTCGCTCGGTTTTATTTCTGTTTTGTGGCAGAAAGAAAAGGAAAGCTACATGTTTCACATTTAATTGTAATGGGTAAACTGACGAGGATAATTTTCATTCGGAACGAAATATCCTCTTGGCGCGACTGTCAATTCACGATGCAGTAAGAAAGCAAAGTGTATTTTTATGTCCTTTGCGAAACGAAAAGGCGACGAGTTTTATATCACCTCAGAAGCAATTCATTCTGCTATTACCACGCTTGTTCCCAGAGAAATTCCCGTAGCTTAAAAAGGACAACATACCCCTTTTAGTTTTACTTTAAAGAGCGCAAATGGACAGTAAAAAGACAGTTTGGCATCGAGTAAACTACATATATAAATCAGAATCTTCTATACAGTAAATTCACTCGAGATATACTGTTACGTTTCCATTATGTAAATGATGAATCGAACAGATTATGGTAAAATGTCCATATCATTTTCACACGAAAGATAAGAAATCGGTCTAGCTTTTGAAAAAGTAGCTTCCAATATAATTCGAGGACGGACGCATTATGGAAAGGTGCTAAATTTCATTTAATAATATATAAATGTGGACGTATTTATATTTAAGTATGGGTGCACATTCATCAGATAACCACAAGGCATGCACCTAATTAATTCAAGCAATGGCTTTTGGAATTTTGTCCTGATATAAAGCCGTCATGTGTTCTTATCGATGGTAGGGAAAATCACATAGAAACTGATACGTATGAAATTCAAAATATTAAATATTTATATAAATATCTGGCAAGCTGAATGTGACATTTTGAATTTTGTATGATCACTCTTTTTTCGATAGCTTATCGTTCGAAACGAAATCACAGACAGGGTTATAGTAGTAAAATTAAGTATCACCCGAACGTGTTTGTAAAATGATATATTATTTAAATCCAGGGTTTGTTTGATAAGCGACTCAGCGGTCTTCGCTTTATCGTGTCAATTAATTTTCAAAAGCGTCATAAATTCACCTCGATGTACAGATATACTACATGTGATTACTTATTCATAAAATTGATTTACTTTTTTAGGTAAATTATTTGCTGATATGTTAAAAGAAAAAGAATATGTCCATCCATGTTTTGTTTATCGAGACAAATTTGATGATAAATCTGTATTTCGTTTCATACAAAAATGTGATATGAAAGAACATTCTAATCTATATTGTGTTGTTAGGAGATAGGTAACGGATAACGTATTCGTGATTAATATATTAGGTTTCAGAAATATCGAAATGAAGATTCTTGTCAGTCTAATCAGGGCGGTGGTCACATTTAGAAAGTTAATTATTTAAAACGTTGTTTAAAACAAACCTGATTTACTTTCTGTTAAATAAAACATGATACAGAAAATATAGCATATACTTTATAAGTGTCAGATGAATAAGGTATCAGATGAAAATGTGAACTGATGAAATTATTAGATGCGTACATAAACAAAATGGTACAAAATATGACAGATAAAAACACATACACTGAAATATATTCTATATAGCACAATAAATAATACGGAAAATCCGCAATTGGGTCTTTTCAAAACAATTACTTCACACCATGCACGTAATATTGTTTATATTCAAGATGGATTTGTTTCATTTAAAGCTTCCAACATGATTTTATGAAGGATCAATGCATGACAAATATCGATTTATTTGCATGTTGTAGTTAGATTTCGTTCACGATGTCAAGTCCACGTCGTATTTACATTTCGTTTATTGTTGCAGGTCCCAACTCTAACCAAAGACGCAGAGGGAGACAAACATACACGAGGTTCCAAACCCTAGAGCTTGAGAAAGAATTTAAATTCAACAGATATCTCACCCGAAGACGTCGAATAGAGCTCTCCCATATGTTGTGTTTAACAGAAAGGCAGATTAAAATATGGTTTCAGAATCGGCGAATGAAAGAAAAGAAAGAGTTACAGGCAATTAAAGAACTGAACGAACAAAGTAGGGTTCATGAAAAAAATAAATCAGAGGAAGCAGCTCCAACGAAATCTACAAGCTCATCTTCATCTTGTGCACAAAATTCGAATCAATCACATTCTCCCGAAAATTCAGAAAGTTGAAATCATTTATTTCCTTCGATGTTTTTGTTGAACTATCGGGGGCCGCCGGAAGTGGCGATACCTCCACTACCTCCGCTAATGAATTGTGGGTAAAACCTAAATGAATGACACAATGTTTGTGAACAATATCGTCTGTTCATTATGTTTAAAACTGAAGTGAACAATTGACAACCAAGAACTAAACACACCACTCAACCGAGTCCGGCGACCATGTTGTATCCACGACGAAGCAACTTTACATGTCGTCTGTTCAAACATTGCATCTTCTGCAACGGCGCATTTCACGCTCTTCTTAACGAAAACGACATCATCAACAACAGCACCAAGTACTGAGCCGTTATAACCTGATTAAAGTACGACAACGCCATTACTATCGATAACATTTCTGTGTAACTGGCTACGACGTCAAGTCAACGCAGCATTATTAAATCGACACATGTCGTGCTGGTCGTCCCATGGAAAGTTGTATCTCCAAAGGAACATGAACTTCTGGTATTGCCCTTTCACGTCGGAGCAGATCGGAGGACGAGCAGATATGATGACAGACACTGTCTTAAAAACAACCGTGATCGTGAACATTGTCGTCTGCTACAATACCGCAGTGAATGCATTGTCAGACGAGTTTTAACTGTCGTCTGCTGCCTTCAGTTTTTGGCGGTAAAGCTTGTCATTTTGAACGTGATGTGTGTGTATTGCGCAAAACAATCATCACAATGAACTTGTATTTGAAATGGCAGGACCCAGATCTGTATGGCAAGAAGGTGTTTTCTCAAGAGCCAAAGCCGCTTCATGTTTCATGTCTCATCCACGTTTGTAGAAAATCCGCCATTTTGTGTCGACGCCATCTTGAATATTAGGTCGTGTTCAGGGACTCACGTTTCACCACGTTTTATTTTTGTTCTTTACATATGTTAGCTTATTCTAATTTTTGTTTCGTATTTTTGTCATATTGTGATTATTGATGTTCACGAACTCTCGCGAGAGTGCTCACCTATAACGAGAATCCATGAGACTTCACGGTCTCGTGACCTTGACTTTGGTCATAGGGTATTTATGTGTGAAGGAAAACAACTTCACGCGAGCCCAGAAACTTACATAAGTTGACGAGAATACAATATTAGCTTCATAGTTACCCAGTGATTCACAACCCCATCGTTTATCGATCTCTCGTTATTTTTGCCTCTTTGAATGAGATCTAACCGGCGGTTAGGAAACATACCCTCTACATGCGAGAATCGGCCACATGATTATAGTATTTTGACGAGGAATACATGTCTATGTTGACTGTCTTAACGAGAAAGGATCACTCAATAGATTATTGACTATTGTGTTAACACATGCTAGTTTTATTCACGATTGTGTTACATATGATAAGGCTTCATAGACTTATTGTGATCTGACGAGAAAAACTACAAGACATCGGATTATCCGAACAACTGATTATAGACAATGCTGATATGATACAAAATAATTCATTAGTAGATAGTACACATGATTTCTAAAAAATCTCCATATTTATTATTAGCGATTTACAATCTCTAAATGCACAAATTACAGAATATTATGAAAGTGTATACGTCTGTAGTCCACGTTCAGAATATATGTATACAAGGCTCCAAATTAAAGTAAAAACCCACACAATTGGTATTCAAATCAAATTACGATAACACATTAACGATAATGAACAATTGATAGTGAATCAAATCTCTCACAAGAGCTACATATCAAAACGCAATTTTCAGAAGTAGTGTATTCACATTACAAAAATCAAAATCCAACTTGTTATTCCTGTATGTGTTTGCGTAAATGCTAAAAATTATAATGAGTAATATATATGTATATATAGGTTTCCTGTCACGAGCGCTGCTTAATACTTCAATTAAGCCATGTCGTTACTTTTGACCGCTAAACAATAGAACATCATCACAGGAGCATGTTCTGAATTCAAAATCTCTTTGTTCAAAACAGTTATCGTTTATCAAAAAATACACCTGCCTGTTTATACATAATCAGAGTTAATCCTTTATCTGCGATTGTCAAAGCATCTGTTTTCAGAAATGTGGTCTCATTGTGATAATGCACATTGACTGTCTCGGTAGTCAACACATGTGAAAACGGTATTAAAGTGATAATTATTTATAGTTTAATAATCTCACAGGAACGTTCGCAACTAATTCATAACTCGTCCGAAATACAAAATAACATGACCAATAACACAAAATAGCAACACTTACATTTAACGAAATCAAATAGTGAAGAACTTGGATCCGGATTATTCCAGGTAGGCATAACGTAGTATACACTACATGAAATAATAGGTTTTATTCGATATGAAGCGTACAGAGAAAAAACAAGAGGAACGATTTTATCGAAATTATGAGATTTATAGAAAAGAGTAGTTTTTATCGTCATATTCTCTGGTTGTACCAGCGTCACCTATAGTTGTTATGACTGTTCTGTGTTTTCTTTTCATTTACGAGATATGAATATAAACTATTCTGTAAGATTGTAAAGATCTATATTGCAGCCTGAATGTAACGAGAAACATGTTGATATAGATTTTTGTTTGATATTAAATGTCTTATCAAATATACGTACACACTTGTTGTTTTTTATATACCGGTTATATATTGGAACATTCGTTTTCCTTTGTACAAAATGCATAATAAAACAGTCCGTTTTGTCACGATGTCGAAAATCGTAATATTGTAAGTAAGTTATAGTTTTACTATATATATTCCTCTAGTGGTTGCTTAGTTATGCAAGTCTGTGCACTTTTCTTGAACATTTAAGGTTTCGTTGATGGAACATGTATTCACCTTATTATCAAAAGGTCCGATAACATTTCTTTGGCGACTTTTAAACATAAACAACACATATATTGAAATTGATTGAACATTTACAATAGATGAAATTATTAGGGACAGTAAAATTCAACAATGCAGTATTAGATATTTATGATGAACACTGGCGGCTGTCAAAGAACATAGAACAGTTATTTAACAGTTGTTCGACTTTTTGTGTACTAGTAATTCCCTAAAAGTTGTTGTTGGTCAAATTTGAGTGGAGAAATACATGCATGTCGGGATAACTGATCACCAGCCAACATCAGTGTCAACGACGCGAACTCAAGGTGCGGTACTCAAAGATTATTGATTTTCACTCCCAATATTAAGTATATTATTATTCCAAATGAATATCGTATATATTAATGTTATGAAATAATGCCGGTGCGACGTTAAATTTTAACTCATTCACTAATGTTACGAATTATACATGTAGGAAGGTTTATAAAGAAAAATGCACGAAAGTACGCGCGCACTCACGAACACGCCGATTGTATCTTAACACTATAAGACTTACTAGAATTACATGCAAACAAAACAAACAGTGGGAAATGGAAATGCACATTATTATTTAACTTTAATTTCTATTTAATAACTGTATGATCCTCTGATTTCTAACAAAACCTAAATTGACAGATATCGTTTACATGGCTTATTTTAAAAAAAATGCACTCACAATCTCTGTCGACTTGTGAAAACTCGATTGTCCAAAACATACGTCATCGTTTTTATGTGGCAGCAACATATGAAAAGTGATCTCAGTGGATCAATATAATATGCTGTTTCAAATACAGAGTACGATTTAAGAGTTTTAGAAATGCCAAGTGGATTGAGGAACTATGATACGGTAACATGACAAGGTACCTTCGCCACAATTACAAGAATTATTACCTATATTTTGTTATTAATATATATCGTGCATATTTTTTGTTTCAGTTACGCGAAACGATTTCTATTCCAATATTCATGAGCAATTGCTAACTGACTAACTGGCAATAATTATACTTATACATGAGGGCAGAAACTAAGTTGAGTTGTGAGATGTACACTGCTCGGCAAAAGAAGTAGACATTCTGACACTGGATTGACCAAAAAATTACAAACGTAACTATACTTAAACCAGTCGCCGAAACACTGCAAAGTTGAGGTTCAATCCACAACTATGATACACGCTTTAAACACTTCACCATCGAATGACCATTTCTTCTTTGTTTCATATTTAGCCGCCATCAAATATGGAAGTTTACCTTCTTTGTCCTGGCAGTTAATTGTTGACTTGGCTCAGGATTTATTCGTTTTCAATATTTATTGAAAACTAATTACTATTTATCTAATTTCAGTCAAATTATATTCAGTACATTTTCATTTCTCCCTGTGAAATCCTTTTGTTTGCAATAAGAAATATTTATTAATGCATATACTTTACTACATATACATTTTGTCCCTTTCAAACGAAAGTAGAGTGCAACTTTTAATGGTTTTTTTCTCTGACGAAACCTAACAGAACCTTGTACTTTACAAGAAAATGCGCGATAGGCAAAGACAAGGTTGTTGCTTGCCTAAGTTATGTCCGTACGGACGAAAATGGACATCGCTATTTTTATGTCATACCACGTGACAGTTTTGAGTCGCCACATACGCTGTACAAGGCGATCTTACTTGGACAAATCTCGTTCATACAGACAATCTTGTCAAGAAAATATTACGTCGGCCGTCACTTGTAGCCTGAAGCGACGTTTGACGTTGAACACACTTTTAGCCCATGGAAAGACCTGCCCCTACCCCAATGTGCGTGCATAGATGACTGTGGAAAGGACATGGTCTAGGCAGTTCGTAGACACCAATGTTTAGTCTGGCGCCACTCTGATTAATAGCAATGTCCACTTGTCATCATTTTCTGACGACATGACCATGGCGATTAACTACTCGGCAGCTTATTGGCTAATATTTGCTCAAGTTACACATTTGGAATCTTTACGATTTGGTGTCCGAAAATACCGCTTTATATATGCATATGTATGAAATTGTTGGGAATGTTGGTGATAATAAGAGAAAAGAACAAACGACTAAGAAACAATGGTTTTATTTTTTCATTATATTGTTGTAATATTGAAACATATATTCGTAGCAAGTATAACACAACATTTAGTTTCATTTAAACTTTTTTCTTTTCCTCTTTGCGTAATCCATGACTTTTTAATGTTAAACTAACACGGGGAACATTACAAAGGCAGCGATCTCGTTGTTGAAGAATTAAAAGTAATTGTATACACAGATGGTGAATACATGTTTTAGGTGGAGTGATATACATGTATTTGAGAAGTGACGTCAAGGAGCACGATTCTGTTCCACTATACACATTCATAATGCTATAAGTTTGCTAGGCATTCGTGTTCACGTTGAAAATTCGTAGCTGCATAGGCCTTCTAATAATCGTTAATTGGAAACTGTGGCACATCGGTTTTAAAAAAGCTTTTAAAATTGTTCTGTGTGAATACCTAACTTAAATGAAATAACTGACAATGATTCAGAAGAATAATAGCAGGCGTATTATATTCAATAACGTAAACACTTAAAGATATATTTTGAAATCGAAAAACATACAGGTGCAGTGGAGTTCCGTTAAATCGATCCCTGATGCCTCGAGTAATAGTGAGTGAGTGAGTGAGTGAGTATGGTTTTACGCCGCTTTTAGCAGTATTCCAGCAATATCACGGCGGGGGACACCAGAAATGGGCTTCACACATTGTACCCATGTCGGGATTCGAACCCGGGTCTTCGGCGCTTTAACCACTAGGCTACCCGACCGCCCCACCCCTCGAGTAATAGCTTATCGCAACGTTTATGAATGCTGACTTTATATTTGAATTCTGTTCGAATGATCGGGAATTATATTCATATTCATCAAGATCGTTATGACTGCTTTAAGCCCTGTTCACTGTTTAATTACTACTAGTTTACTTACATGGATGGTCATTATAGTGTTTTCTAATAATATTTTTGTTAAATAATCTTTTAGCGTGTAATTACAAGTTACAATTTATTTTTTATGCAAGTACCAAAAAATAGTTATAACAAACTAAGAATTGGCATTTTAAGTTTTCTAAAATGCGAAATGATGCCTTTCCGAACATTACACGCTATTTTACATAACGTTTCTTCTAGACTATTGTAACAACTACATGTATTTGTTTCACTTCATACAACAATCTGAAAAGGTCAAGTCTGTTGGTAATGCGCCTGCATTCGGAAGAAATGGACATATGATTTCATCAACGGAGGTTTGTCAAAGCACCTGGTTCAGAGAATAAAGGAAGACAGACAAAAATAAGTGTAGCGAATAATGATGAACCTATTAACCTTTAATGTTAGGACAAAATATGAAATGAATCCACCCTTGAGATGAAATAAACGTTTTGTGTGTTGACATATGCATATGGTTATGTTACTTGAAGGCATCATCATTGACTCAGTTTATCATATACATGTATCTTGAAGACGCGACCACTTATTCGTTTTACCACATACATTTGTCTGGAAGACGTAAACAATACCGCAGTGTATCACATAGACATCACTTGAAGACGTGGCCTATTCAATTTACCATATCCATTTGCCTTGAAGACGTGAAAACTTATTCAGTTTACAATATACATTTGCTTTGAAGAAGTGTACAATGACTAAGTGTACCATATTCAGTATACCTGACTCTGTGTATCATATACACATCATTTGAAGACGTGGAAACCTAATCAATTTACCATATCCATTTGCCTTGAAGACGTTAAAACTTATTCAGTTCACTATTTTAATTTGTCTTGAAGAAGTGAACAATGACTAATTTACCATATACAGTATACCTGACTCTGTGTATCATAAACACATCATTTGAAGACGTGGAAACCTAATCAATTTACCATATCCATTTGCCTTGAAGACGTTAAAACATATTCAGTTCACTATTTTAACTTGTCTTGAAGAAGTGAACAATGACTAAGTTTACCATATATAATATACCTGACTCTGTAAATCATATACATTTTCCCTGACGACGTTATCACTGGCTCATTTAATCATATACACATCCTTGTGACTTGATGACTTATTTCGTGTACCATATACATTTGCTTTGAGACGTGAACACTTTTTCATTTTACCAGTTTATCATATACATATTGCGTTGAAGGCGTGATCACTGACTTGGTACATCCCGTACATGTTCCTTCAACATTCCGTTCACTATAAAAACGTTCCTTGAAGACGCGGACACTGACTTAATAGTTTAATAAAAGAGACAAAAACATTTTCTAGATCACAATAGTCCATTATACAATTCCGACCACAATCACCATCAAATAGTGATGATACTAGGTGTTTGCGAAAAGGTGAGCATATCCTACGCAAAAAGAGGCTCTCGTAACAAACACATGCAAAGGCGATTCAATTGTTCACTCGAACAAAAAGCTCGGGAACACATGGTACAAGTCAACATAGGGGATTGCATCGGGTATCAGTTTGGTTACCGATGCGTCATATATATAAATTTAATCCATATATTTACCCTAAACGTTTTTAAATATTTTGCTGTGGTCTTAAATGTCTTAAATGTCTTGGGCGGTCGGGTAGCCTAGTGGTTAAAGCGTTCGCTCGTCACGCCGAAATCCCGGGTTCGATTCCCGACATGGGTACAATGTGTGAAGCCCATTTCTGGTTTCCCCTGCCGTGATATTGCTGGTATATTGCTAAAAGCGGCGTAAAACTATACTCGCTCACTCACTCACTCACTCTTAAATGTCTTAAATAACCCTGATCAAACAACTATTGTGCAAGAGACGAATAACTGTCTTTGAAATTTTCGATGAAAGAGCACGCTCAATTGTATCTCAAAAGTTGTAAAATGTGGACACCAAATGCTTTAGTTGCTGAAATATTGTTAAACACAAAGGGAAAGTTGACTATTGGAACGTTGAAGTCATCCCTCTTGTCATACAGTCTTGTGAAAAGATTTTAGTTAGGTAGAATCCTTCTGCGCAGCTTTAAATTTGCAACAGATGAGGCGGTCTCACTTGGGAAGGTAAATGAGTAAGATGAAGTTTTGGTTCAAAAGAGGATAATCAGTACACACACACACACACACACACACACACACACACACACACACACACACACACACACACACACACACACACACACACACACACACACACAAAACACACACACACACACAACACACACACACACAACACACACACACACACACACACACACACACACACACACACACACACACACACACACACTTGACGTGTTGGGTGACATTAGACTTACACTTGCCGTTGCCGTGCTGGGTGATATTAGATTTACACTTGCCGTGTTGGGTGACATTAGACTTACACTTGCCGTGTTGGGTGGCATTAGACTTACACTTGCCGTGTTGGACGGCAAGAGGTTTACACTTGCCGTTTTGGGTAGCAATAAGTTTACACTTGCAGCGATGGGTGGCAGTAGGTTTTATACTTGTCGTGCTATGTGGCAATAGGTTTTATACCTTCCGTGCTGTGTGGCATTGGACTAACACTTGCCATGCTGGGTGACATTAGACTTACACTTGCCGTGTTTGGTGGCATTAGAGTTACACTTGTCGTGCTGGGTGGCAATAGGGTTTATACCTGCCGTGCTGTGTGGCATTGGACTTACACTTGCCGTGTTTGGTGGCATTAGAGTTATACTTGCCGTGCTGGGTGACATTAGACTTACACTTGCCGTGTTGGGTGGCATTAGACTTACACTTGCCGTGTTGGGTGGCAAGAGGTTTACACTTGCCGTGTTGGGTAGCAATAAGTTTACACTTGTCGTGCTATGTGGCAATAGGTTTTATACCTGCCGTGCTGAGTGGAATTAGACTAACACTTGCCGTGTTGGGTGTCATTAGACTTACACTTGCCGTGTTGGGTGGCATTAGACTTACACTTGCCGTGTTGGGTGGCAATAGGTTTAATTCACATCTCATGTCTGAGTCTTGTCCTGCTGGGTGGTAATAGGATTACTCAGCACGTCTGGGTGACAACAGGTTTTCATTTGTCGTGCCGTGTGGCAATAGGTTTTATACTTGTCGTGCTGCGTAAAATTACTGAATTGATGCAAGTATCTAATTTTTAATCGTAGCTTCTTCCGATTTCGAAGAGGGAGGAGGGGTTTTGGGTGTGGGGGAAGTTAATGTGGGTGACGATGTTGTTCTAATGTTGATAATGCTTATGTGATGATGTTGATGATGTGATAGCGATGTGGTGTCAGTGACGTGATGCAATGGTGGTGTACCTGACGATGGTAGTGGTGTAAGTGTGGTGTTATGCTTGTGGTGATGATGATGGTGATGATTGTAACGGTAGTGCTGTTTGTGTCTGTTGTAGTGTTTGTGGTTGTTATGCTAGTGGTGGTGATGGTGAAAATCGTGACGGTAGTGTTGTTTGTGTCTGTTGTGGAGTTTGTGATGGTCATGATAGTGATGGTGATGGTGATGATTGTGACGGTAGTGTTGTTTGTGTCTGTTGTGGAGTTTATGATGGTCATGATAGTGACGGTGATGGTGATGATTGTGACGGTAGTGTTGTTTGTGTCTGTTGTGGAGTTTATGATGGTCATGCTAGTGATGGTGACGGTGATGGTGATGATTGTGACGGTGGTGGTGTTTGTGTCCGTTGTGGAGTTTATGATAGTGATGGTGTTGGTGATGATTGTGACGGTAGTGTTGTTTGTGTCTGTTGTGGAGTTTATGATGGTCATGCTAGTGATGGTGACGGTGATGGTGATGATTGTGACGGTAGTGTTGTTTGTGTCTGTTGTGGAGTTTATAATAGTCATGATAGTCATGGTGATGGTGATGATTGTGACGGTAGTGTTGTTTGTGTCTGTTGTGGAGTTTATGATGGTGATAATAGTGACGGTGATGGTGATGATTGTGACGGTGGTGTTGTTCTTGTCTGTTGTGGAGTTTGTGATGGTGATTATAGTGACGGTGATGGTGATGATTGTGACGGTAGTGTTGTTTGTTTTTGTTGTGGAGTTTATGATGGTCATGGTAGGGATGATGATGGTGATGATTGTGACCGTGGTGGTGTTTGTGTCTGTTGTGGAGTTAAGGATAGTCATGATGGTGATGGTGACGGTGATGATTGTGATGATTGTGATTCTGTTTGTGTCTGTTTTGGAATTTATGATGGTGATGGTGATGGTTGTGACGGTAATGTTGTTTGTGTCTGTTGTGGAGTTTATGATAGTGATGGTGATGGTGATGGTGATGATTGTGACGGTGGTGGTGTTTGTGTCTGTTGTGGCGTTTATGATGGTCATGATAGTGATGGTGACGGTGATGGTGATGATTGTGACGGTAATGTTGTTTTTGTCTGTTGTGGAGTTTGTGATAGTGATGGTGTTGGTGATGATTGTGACGGTAGTGTTGTTTGTGTCTGTTGTGGAGTTTATGATGGTCATGATAGTGATGGTGACGGTGATGGTGATGATTGTGACGGTAGTGTTGTTTGTGTCGGTTGTGGAGTTTATAATAGTCATGATAGCGATGGTGATGGTGATGATTGTGACGGTAGTGCTGTTTGTGTCGGTTGTAGTGTTTGTGGTTGTTATGCTAGTGGTGGTGATGGTGAAAATCGTGACGGTAGTGTTGTTCTTGTCTGTTGTGGAGTTTGTGATGGTGATTATAGTGACGGTGATGGTGATGATTGTGACGGTAGTGTTGTTTGTTTTTGTTGTGGAGTTTATGATGGTCATGGTAGGGATGATGATGGTGATGATTGTGACGGTGGTGGTGTTTGTGTCTGTTGTGGAGTTAAGGATAGTCATGATGGTGATGGTGACGGTGATGATTGTGATGATCGTGATACTGTTTGTGTCTGTTTTGGAGTTTATGATGGTGATGGTGATGGTTGTGACGGTAATGTTGTTTGTGTCTGTTGTGGAGTTTATGATAGTGATGGTGATGGTGATGGTGATGGTGATGATTGTGACGGTAGTGTTGTTTGTGTCTGTTGTGGAGTTTGTGATGGTCATGATAGTGATGGTGACGGTGATGGTGATGATTGTGACGGTAATGTTGTTTTTGTCTGTTGTGGAGTTTGTGATAGTGATGGTGTTGGTGATGATTGTGACGGTAGTGTTGTTTGTGTCTGTTGTGGAGTTTATGATGGTCATGATAGTGATGGTGACGGTGATGGTGATGATTGTGACGGTAGTGTTGTTTGTGTCGGTTGTGGAGTTTATAATAGTCATGATAGCGATGGTGATGGTGATGATTGTGACGGTAGTGCTGTTTGTGTCGGTTGTAGTGTTTGTGGTTGTTATGCTAGTGGTGGTGATGGTGAAAATCGTGACGGTAGTGTTGTTCTTGTCTGTTGTGGAGTTTGTGATGGTGATTATAGTGACGGTGATGGTGATGATTGTGACGGTAGTGTTGTTTGTTTTTGTTGTGGAGTTTATGATGGTCATGGTAGGGATGATGATGGTGATGATTGTGACGGTGGTGGTGTTTGTGTCTGTTGTGGAGTTAAGGATAGTCATGATGGTGATGGTGACGGTGATGATTGTGATGATCGTGATACTGTTTGTGTCTGTTTTGGAGTTTATGATGGTGATGGTGATGGTTGTGACGGTAATGTTGTTTGTGTCTGTTGTGGAGTTTATGATAGTGATGGTGATGGTGATGGTGATGGTGATGATTGTGACGGTAGTGTTGTTTGTGTCTGTTGTGGAGTTTGTGATGGTCATGATAGTGATGGTGGCGGTGATGGTGATGATTGTGACGGTGGTGGTGTTTGTGTCTGTTGTGGAGTTTATGATGGTGATGGTGATGGTGATGGTTGTGACGGTAATGTTGTTTGTGTCTGTTGTGGAGTTTATGATGGTCATGATAGTGATGGTGATGGTGATGATTGTGACGGTAATGTTGTTTGTGTCCGTTGTGGAATTTATGATGGTCATGATAGTGATGGTGATGATTTTGATGATGGTGATACTGTTTGTGTTTGTTGTTTTATGGTAGTCAGTCATTCTAGTGACAGTGGAGGTGGTAATGACGTGGCTGCTGCAAGTGATGGTTGTTTAAACGGTGCTTCTATTAATGGCTTTGGCGACGTTGATGGTGCCAATGATAGGATGATAGTGAGGATGTTTTCAAGCGCAACGAGGACAAAAAAGAACAATGAAGTCAATCAAGACACGTATTATAACAGTCCGCAAATGTTCTCAAGACCATGATCCTGTCGCACACTTACAACAGAACCTCCGTATCCACATAACAACTGAACACCAGTCTTTGGATGAATAAACCATTTGTTCTGCAGCGAAGCGATTGTACTCACCATTAAGATACATCAGCATTATGGAACCATGAAGAATATTCTTGGACTCCTGGGATGCTGCGATAAAATTAACCGTTAAAAACTAACTTACAAGAACACATCCCACGAGGACTCCGAATCATAGGCACTTCAGTGACCAGTGAAGTAGGTATATATCAGATATGCAGAAGTCGATGCTAGGGTAGTCGTATATAGCTATAGCGGGATAGATAACTCACACAGAATTTAACCAAGTAACTTTATGGATCTAATATTAAGGGAAACACATAAGACACGCTCTCACTATGTGGCACATATAATACTGATTTTGAAAAGTAGATTAAATATGTGCGATTATTAACACGATTTATTCACACGTATAATTAAACACACCGTATTGATTGCCCCACACAACAAGTCGCAGCACAAAACTGGGTTTCACACGGCTGTTAAAATCCCCAGTCGTCACTCGTTTGCATAATAGGTAACCCGGCAGGATTAAGCGTAGTCAAGCATTGAAACTCCCCCTTGTCTGCAGCACCCGGCACGTATATCAGATGATGGTGTGTGACAATGATTTATTGTGAATAGGTGTCATGCAACCAAGAACACCAGCTACTGGTGCTGTAAGTGTCTGAGATATATGTTAGTGCGGACATCACGCATTCCGGGGGAGTAATAGTAGGGTCGTCTACATACAGAGCAAACCCCCGTTAAACCAGACACCGTTACACATTCCGTCTTCCGACCTATTGCGTCTGAGAACAGTTATTTGAACATAACACTGTCCAAATGGTTCATTTATCCGGATGTGTGTTAGTGAGAACCATTTTACTGGGTTCATATTGTCCGGATTAACGGTTTGCACTGCATATAATGGACAGGTCTCAGTAACAATTGCACGTTAACCGAAATAGGTGATAATCTGGATCAATATTTTAGGGATAACGGAATTCGCTAACGTTTATTTTACTATTCGTGAAGTATAAGTGAAGATAATTAAATGTTTTTTTTATTGTCCAGGGGGTGGGAATTAAAACGCCATGCGATAACAGCACACGTGGTAAAAGGCGCCCCCCCCCCCCCCCCCCCTCCCCTCAAAACCCCCTCCTAGGATTTCAGTGACTCAACTTTTAGAACACGTGACTTTTTGTCCTTCGTTTTCACGTTGAAATATCACATTACACTTTCCCTGTTAAAGACGTACACCTTTCTCAAAGGACTGTATCAGTGAAAAATATGAATCACGTTTTAGCACATTATATTTCTGAAATAAAACTTTTTATAGCTTTCTAAACCGCAGGATACATAGTTTTGACTTTATTTCTTTCTCTTAAAAAACATTAATATTTTAATCAGGTAATTAATTTCGATAATCATTACCAATATAATTGGTGTCGGTTGAGGAATTACACAAACAACTAGGTCCATACATGTGGCTTGTAACTTCTGATTTCATTAAAATGATATAAATTAGCATATTTTCAAATTTCGAAATTGTTCATTTTCTAAAATTTCCCATTTAAAATAAATCTAATTAATATATGCACTTGTATGAAACAAATAACCCTGGGTAGTGTTCAGTTTAAACCTCTTATTTTCATCTGCATGCTCTTAATTGTCAATTTCACGTCATAGATACTGCGAATAATTTAAACGTGTGAAGTAACAGTGAAATAGACGCGATATTGATTTCAGTGAGATGGATTATAACCACGTGACCCCGGACACAATTACTGACATGAAGCAAGCAAAAAGGTCTATTTCACAGCCCAGAGAGCATGCGAATAACTGTCCGTAGAGTTATCAATTTCACCGAGTGAAATGAGTGAGTGATCAATTTCATCCCTTGAGAATCATGATCAATTACATTCGTGCGGTCATTGTTGTGGTGTAGTTGCAATATGTTTGAACTCTATCATGTAACTGAGTGTAAAGTGACAAAAAACACTTTTGTTAAACGTGGGTCATTTTGAAATCAGGTAAAACATGACTGATCACTTAAAGCGCATTGTACACATACCAGAATGAGCATTTTGAGGGGTAAGACATCTTGAAATAGACACGTATTTGTTCATCTCGACATCTGTGAATGGACGTGTTCCGCTTCTGTAACTCATTTAAGATGTTTCTCAGGGCCTGTGGTGCCGGCTGACTAAAACATATCTTGTTTCCTTTTCAGTTTTCAACCTAAAAAAACAGACACTTGGTATTCTGGACAATTACCCATAGGGAAAAGGCTGAAGACTGAATAATCATCTGGATTCCGTTTATCAAAGATATATGAATAAATCTGCTCTGCAAAGAAAGAGTATTTATTGTGAAAATCATCTTCTCATTCGGTGCGAATAAATACTCTAAATTCATATGAAGTGATTAAATATATAAAAATAATGAGTTTGAATATTAAGTGATCGATGATACTGTCGATGATGCAACAAGATTTAAGAACCTCATGAGCTATACATTTCCAGCGATAATTTACATATTCACGCACAAAATGATGGATCAAATAATTCTTCGAAATCACTTCCGTTAAGGTATATATGAATCAAACGTGCTCAATTCGTCATGCCGTCCGCATGTACTGCGTGTCATATTTCAAATATGGAAGACCATATTTTGCAGGAACTGTATTCAATGCACAGATGAAGTTTAACCTGATGTGTACCTGTTTCTCAACATTACACACGGATCAGTGTATGGCGACAGCTTCTTATTGAAGTGAAAATATCCACATTACAATTGAAAATTACTCTGAAAATGTTACATAAAACGAAATATGCACAGGGACATGAGCCAAATACAAGGTGTCACCACACATAATTATCTGAATACAGATGGTATAATTTCATCAACGATTCAAAGTCTTGGTGTTCGATATTTGTACAAACGCACATCAACATAGAATGTAAGGACAAGATGTACATTTAGTGTGCGAATTTTATCATTTTCATCCTTATAAAAGAAAAATTAATTAAAAATTAAAAATTAAATTAACACGAAAAATGCATTCTTCTATATATATTTACACCATGTTCAAGTACATGTCAAACAGCATTCTGTAAAATGGTTTTGTGATTTATTTATGATATAAATAAAATAATATGACGTATGGTTGTATGTTAGTTAATTATGGTGAATATGTAGATTTGAATGACGTCATTTTTTACTACAGCAGATGCCAGTTCATACATGACTAATGAGATTATCTTTTACAGTAAATAACATTTAAACAGTATATTTCATTTTCATATTACTATGAAAGTAAAGAAAAGGTCATTTTAACTAGTATATTGTGGATAAAAGTATTGGCTGGTTTAAAGGGGTTTTAAACTGTCAGTGAATTAGCGTAGTATTCACGTGTTTGATGAGTTGTGTTTCAGTAACAGAGACACATTATAAACAATTTCTTCAGTCTCCCATTTATGTTATTGTTCGTGGGTTCTTCGTAATCTTTTTGCCATATAAGGTGGCTCTTGTATCTGTTGAAGGTATTATGCTCATACTACCGCTCTTTGATGGATGATCCATACCGAAATCATTACTGGAACCCATGCGTGCGGATAAAACGCAGATCATTACAAGTATTTAATGGTACACGAAGAGCCGTTATCAAACTGGAAAGGCGCTTATTCAAAATTATTCAAAATTATTCAATCACACGACATTTCGTCAAATATAATATGTAATAAACCGGCCATATTTAAGATATCATATGAAAGGTTGATAGATCGTACGCCGAATTACAGACTGTGTAATGACGTCGAACGTTCATATATACATTATTTCATAAATAAAATAACATAATTTGAAGACATCCGAGGAATTCAGTGGTGCATAACTAACGTATGCACTGTGATAATAGATTATACATACGCTGTGGTTTCATTAATGTTGCGGAATCTTCCATCCATAGTGATACCACGCTTGATAAAGTATCTATTCCACGTCGTTCGGGTGTTTAATCATATCAATAATGTATATCTATAAGTTAGAGCTTTTTATCCGTTTCGATCATCATTAATCCGGTAAAATGATATTTTAGTTTTCAGAAAGTACCATTTTATTTTTTTTTATATAGGTATTTATCTAAAACACGGTTTAAATAGGCAATGATTTTGAATCATTATGATGTATTTTTTTTAAAAAAAGACTTAAAATATTTATACAATGTAATTGTGTTATATGAAGTGTGAATGTAGGTAGAAGCGGGGAATCTATTTTTAAACAGTACACATTAAAGTGAAAACAACAGTTCTATAACTGAAAGTAAAATGACGCTGGTATGTCCAGTTCCTTCGGAAATGTCCCAAGAATATAAAACGTCAACGACAGAGAATAATCAGTCTCGATTATCTGCGGAAACAGACTTTGCGTAAAAGACAAAATAATAAATTATATGCATTGATCACCGAAAATCGGTCACGATACCAGCGGCTCGTGAAAAGGGTAGGCATGTCCTGCTCTTACTACATCGGCGCCTAAACGAACAACAAAATAAATTAAAACCAAAACGGGTTCTTGGTTCGAAACTTTGGTTCGAATCTTGGTCCATGTTTTCCTTTACTCTTAAATATAAACCTGCTGTTTTACGTTGTGTATGCCGGTCAGATAATGGCACGGCTAATCGCTCCATTG